ATCAACCCAGTCTGGTTGCGACATTTTGTGCATACATAATGAGACTCAAACAAGTCAAGATCAGCAAAATGAGTCATTACTTGGGTATATCATATAAATTATTTATTATATTTCAAGTCTTTTTGCTAGTCTTACATACATCTACATACATTATCTACATACATTTTCCTCAAGGTTGATTTGATTAAAAAACTGACCCATCTTGAGGCATGCAACTTTAAAGGTTTTTCCTGCATGAGATTTAAAACCAAGTAACCCTTTAGATGAAATAATTCTTCACCTTTGGTGGAAGTCAAACAGAAAAAAAATAAGAACATTTTTTATATTATCGTATAAGTCTTTATAAAACAGATACCAATATTAACTCATTCAATTAGAGTAAAGACGAAATCAAGAAACTTGTTTTATCTCAATTACCCTTATGTGACATCCAAGGTGCAGGAATTTTTTTATCCATGTGACTCATAAAACTTTATACAGGTCTTTTAGGCAATGCTTTTTGCAAAATATAGAGACATGGTCTGTATCTCCCGAAAATAAGATGTGTTTTTCTTTACCTTGACATAAAGCAAGTGACTCCCAGGACAGTGCAAATTTTGACCTGAGGGTCATGATCAATTTAACTTTTATTGAAATTTACAGATTGATGCTACAGGCCAAATATCTAAGGTCTGTGCTTGTACGTTCACAAAATATGACTTAAATGTGTTTTCCTGTAATCAAATGACCCCCCGAGCAGGCCAATATTAACTCTAAGGGTATGATAAATATCAACTTGCAGACAATCACAAGGTTTTGTACATGCTAAATATCCTAGCTCTCCATATTGTAATTTTACAAATAAGACTGCAATATATTTTATCATACAAGGCTTTATTAACTAAGTGACCCTAGGGGCGCGGAAAACATTGGCCTACGGTGCATGATAAATATCAGGTTAATAAAAGCCAACAAGGCAATGCTACATGTCAAATATCTTAACTCTAGGCATTGTAGTTTCACCAAAACAAGGTTTTAATTTCTTTCCCTATACAAAACTGTATTAACTAAGTGAACGCAAAGTGGCATGATTCTTACCAGTTTTGTAATTGTCTATAACGCAATGCTACATGCTAAATATCTTAGCTCTAGACATTGAAGTTTCACACAATGAAAGTTAAATATGTTTTCCTATAAAAGTCTATATAAATCAAGTCTCACCGGGGCGGGGCCCAACAGGTAGCCCGAACTCTGCAAATCGTCTCATTGTGGTAAACATTTCTGCCCCCTAGTTTTAATTTCCTTCTATCGGTTCAAAGATTCAGACCAGCCATGAAAACTGCTAATAGACTGATGGACAATCTGGTGCATAATATAATACCCAAAGCTTTTTTTTCAGTAAGTGTCCATTGTTCAAAAGAAGAAGCTGTCAGAAACATGTGATCAAAAGGTTTTTATTGTCAATTAGACACAAAAAAAGTTTAAAATGTTTAATGTAGATTTAGAATGTACAAATGATGGTTGAAAATTAACAATCAATACAATTGAATATGTAAAAGGAGAATGATGATGGCCCTTGCTCACCTGAGGTACATTGCTAGAAAAGGTCATAATTCTTCAATGCAAAATTTAGTGGTAAGGTCACTCTAGGTTGTCATTTTTAATCAAAGCTGCATAATTTATCAAAACATTTCAACATGGCTGCTAGAAAATACTACATACTAAATATCTACAGGGATTTTTTGGCTCATTTTATAGCCGTTATTGGGTCATATTCCCAAAAGAAAATAGTATATTATTTTCCCAATCCACAGGAAAAAATTCCCAATTGAAAGTTAAAAAATAAAAATATTGAATAAAAATTCAAAAAATCTTTTGAAAATAAAGGCTTCTTCACTGTATTAGTGCTTAAATGTTTGAAGATGCCATCATAGACAGTAGTTGTCTGCATCCATTTAATCACTGTAAAATTTCAGTCATGCTTTTTTTCTCAATTTTGAACAAAACACCGCTGAAATTCCCAATTCCATGGATATGGGTCGTATTCCCAAAATCTTGGAAAAAATCCCTGATCTAAGCTCTTGGCATTGTTATTTCCCACTAGAAAGCTTATATTTGTTTAACTATGTAACTCTATAATTGTATACATGTATATTTAATGACCTGAAGCTGGAGGATATGATATATGCCACTTCTTTAAAGGTTAACATAGCAATGCTACATTACAAAAATATAAGTCATGGACATTAAAGTTCTATATAATGAAGACCTTAAAGTGTTTTCCCATACAAGTCAAAATCAGCTTAATAACTCCAGGGATGGCCCCTATTTTGACCCCATGGGAATATAGGTAATAATATAAATAGAGAGCAATAAAGGGATACTTCTGTCTTGACCTCAGATGACCACAAGCTTATGTTACAGGCCATTTGTCTTAGTTCTGGACATTGAAGGTTTTTAAATTTGTTGACTTGATAATGCATCAGACAAAAAAAACATTTATTTAACTTATACAGGGGGAACCCAAGAATAACTCCTGTGAAGTTTGGTCAAAATCTACTGAGTGGCTCAGGAGAAGATACACATTAGGTAAACAAACAACGGACAAACTTCCATCACAAAAGTTCACCTCTAAACACAAACCTGTGAGCACTTTGTGCTCAGGCTCATGTGAACTAAAATATATGTAGGTGAATCAAATAATGATAGTTTAAAAAAAAAATAATAATAAAAAGAAATAGAGGATATTGAATGAGTGTAAGTTCAATACTGAATTTATTGCACGAGTTGAATAAAATTATATTATGCGAGCCTCTGGCGAGCATAATATTTTTTTATTCAACGAGTGCAATAAATTCAGTATTGAACTAACACGAATTTAATTTTCTATTTATCACATACTCAAAATAAAGACCGGTTTAAGTGAAATAAGAGTTGTTTTTCATTGACGCGCCTATAGTATAACGCTAACATTAAGGGCGTCTTTTACACTATGTTTGTATAACGCTAATGATGTCACGTCAAAATATATGCACGGCCGTGCAATACCATATTTACGGAGTCGCAAAATCAGCATGGGTGTGTGATAAATAAACATAGTGAATAAATCAAACCATGTACATCAATAATATATCTAACAACTCAGATCACACAGATGTCCAACAATTACAATTATACACAATTCCAACAGTAAGGATTCAACCGAAATTCAACATTTTAAATTATCAAAAGACCATCAGCTTAGATAATACAAAATCCAAAAATTACCATGATACACAAATCTAATAAATAAGCTTGTACACTAATCAAAAAAAAATAAGACTATACACAAATCCAATAATTTAGTGGGGGCATGGCAAAGTGGTTAATGTGTTGGAGTAGTAATCTACCGCTAACCGCATGGGTTTAAACCCCATCAGGGGCAAGTCGTTGTTTCCTTTAGCAAGAAAATCTTGATTATTTAAAACATTACCATAATATTGATGAATGGGCGCATGGATATTGGAAGTATAAACATGGATGATCACAATGATTTAATTGATAAAGTAGACCTGTTGATACATTTTCGCCCTACATTAATGCCATGTGACCTTATACTGATGTCTCAATGCCTGAAGTACTATATGAGCCGCGTCATGATAAAACCAACATAATGTGTTTGCGACCAGCATGGATCCAGACCAACCTGCGCATATGCGCAGTCTGATCAGGATCCATGCTGTTCGCATACAGACCCTATAACAAGTAAAGAAACTGATAGCAAACAGCATTGATCCTGATCAGACTGCGCGGATGCTCAGGCTGGTCTGGATCCATGCTGGTCGCAAACCCATTATGTTGTATTTGTCGCGACGCTGCTCATATTGTTCTGTTTTTCAATATTTAATGTAGCCTTTATCATTCAATGTAACTAACTAAACATTAATTGAGGTCAATGTCAATCATGCAAATCTTCTTTCGTAGTGTTTGTAGAAAAATAATTTAATTATTATTATAACACTTTTTATTTCATTTTCAATTACAGAGTGTAAAAATAAGGTAATTCCCCAAACACATCAGGCTTCATAACCTCCAATATTCCGCCCATTGTTACTGGGCTTTATATGGAATGGCATGTACATGTCACACTGTAAGTTCCATAACAACCAATGCATGAACACAATGTAGCTTATACCCTATACAGATTTTTAAAATCAAACAATAAAGATTTTTAAATCAAATAATAAAAATTTTACACAAAATGGACAATGAAGATGAATACACAAATTAATGAATACACAAATTAAATACAGATAAAACATGAAAAACAATGCAATTTTGAGATAAGTTAGACAACATAGGATCTGACAATAAAAGAGAGGATGTAAATGTAATGTTTCTAAACAAATGAACAAATATTGATAATGAATGAAAGATTATAGATTATATAGTGAATCAATCTTAAATGGAATGAATCATGTAATGTACAGCATGAGAAATTATAACTAGGGAGGAGGAAACAATTGGGAGTAAACCATAACAAAATCTGTTTATCTAATCATAATGATAAACAACTCAATGAATACTTGTAAAAAAATTTTTACAGAATAAAACAATCGAAACTGTCATCTAGACAAATTCCTAAACATGAGATCTTTGAAACCTTTACTATATACTCTCAAATACCCCGACCTTTGCATTATCTTGAAATATGTTAATAGAAATATTTAAACCAAAAAAAATGTGGGGAAGTGTGTGTGAAGGGGGCAGAGAGCCATCAAATTTGTTTTCTATTAATATCATCATATATGAAATTCTAAACATACGCCTATAAATTTTATCTCTGGATTTTTTGTGAGATTAACATGTATATATAAATTATAAAAGTGATAAAATTAACAAAAGTGTTCTTGGAATCACTTAATCAAGGTCCTAAAATCTAAAACATTACTGTTCAATATATCAATACATACATTTCGAAAGTTATTTGTCATCTTGCAGATATTTGAACTGTTTATACCTTAAGTACCAATGGTTGATCTTATAAAAGGGAGGTAACTGCCTCAGTACTTAAATATGGCTCTGTAGAGAAATTTTGCTTCACAAATTGTCCAGCCTATACAAACAAAGGGAAACAACTCAAATACACTTCTGTAGAGTAAAATGCACAAAAAATGACTTGGTGTGTTAAAAATGCATTCATGATTTTAACAATCTATCTTACTCTCTAATAATGATTGCACATAACTAACAGGTCAATATTGTTTTGACATCATGTCCCATTGTTTTAATATTTTTAAAGTTCGTTAAAAACTAAAACACACTGCTAGTGCGGCCTTCCAACAAAAGAATCAGAATTATGCCTGGCTCGTCTGGTTGTTTCACGTGGTTGGGGACGTAACAATTCTTGGATATGCTGAACTATCAAATCAATTGCAACTGAAACAAACAGGATAGAACACTATAAAAAAGTGCACAAAGTCAAGACTGTGTAAATGTAGCGAAATTGAAATTTCAAATTGAAACTAGAAAATTAAACTACCAAACAGAATGGGTTTGTGGAAATGAAACATAAACAATAAAGAAAACTCAGAACAGGGGAAATAATTCAGTAAAATGAAACACAATGATTCTACGACTTAATAATGTAACAAATACAATTTAAACTCATGTGTTAATTTCCAAGTGAAAACATTTAGTGTTTTATAATTTAAAGGAACTCCACTGAGTTTTAAAAGCCTAAAAACATAACATTTGAATTCCTTACATAAATGAGCAGGGGCACTTCAGACAGAAATATATGCAAAGATAGTTAAGAAATATACTTTGAAATAAATTGAAAATCATATTTTTATGATTTTTTTAGCCCGATTTGAGTAAAAAGCGTTTAAACGCTATTCATTTTGTGTCATTTTTTAACAATTCGAATAATTATTCTGGAAAAACAAAGTGAGCGAATGATCTGAAATTTTGCACAAAGATTAATGGTCTTAACCTACATCAAATGGTACATTTATCTGGAAAAAATATTTTCAGTCCCATCATGTCAAAATACCTCAGTGGAGTCCCTTTAAAAGTTTTTACATGATGATAAACATAATATACATCATAATGTACCTGTGTTGTCTGCACCTCGTGGGATTATCACATCAGCATATTTTTTGGTCTGAAATGAGTAAAGATTATGTTATGCTATTGCATTTTCATGCTTATTATATAAATTAAATTAAAGGTTAAATGGTTATCAAAACTTATCCAGCAATAATCTTCCTTAGATCCAAGCCAGAGCTTAAAGGTCTTGGATAATGACATTTCAATTACAATTCTAATGGTATAATCATGTAAAGTTTCAAGTGATTACTTTCAAAAATTGTAAGGATAGATCCTTCAGGCAAAACTTAAACCAAGAATGTTTCAAGTTTATTATTCCTATTGAGTTTCATTTAAAAGTACGCTGAGGTTTTTAGCTCAGGATTAATCATGTTCTGCGGCTTGAGGCATGCAGTCTCGAGACAAAAGAACTTCTAGATATTTTTTTACAAGGAAATGTAAAGTTTCATCAAAAACAGCTAAGCCTTTGAAATGTTGTGGATAATAAAGATATATTTTTCTCTATTTGTAAGCTTTGGCAAGGATCATTCCTGTAAAATTTCATCAAAATCTGTCAAGCCTGTGAAATGTTGTTGATAATAAAGATATTTTTTGTCTATATATTAGCATTGGCTTCCGTCTTCTATAAAAGAGTAGTACAATTAAATTATTTTTTTGTATGTACAATAAAATTATAATTCTTATCAAGTTTCATCAAAACCTGCCAAATTCAATGTTGATAAAGTGACATTATGCCCATCCTAGGGTATATAATAAGTAAACAGGTGAATATCAAAATAAGTTTTCATTTAGCCATAATTCCTTTTATTTAATAATTTAGTTAGCATAAACAATAAATAACCCAGAAATCCCAACAAAATTTCTGTTCATGCCCATTAGAATTTACATGTAACGCTTAGTTTATAAAAAGAGTGGGGAAGTCTTTTTAGATTTAAGGTAGATTTATAATTTTTCTCAAAACATTTTCCAATATCAACTGTTGGTCAAACACCATTTTGTCAGTTAATCTTTTGAAATATAAAGTCAATTTAGGTTAATTCGACTATGAAAATATGAGCATAATGTCACTTTAAACAAAACACAGTGATATATGATAAATAACATATAGTATCACATTCAATCACATTTTGCATTTCTTTATATAAATTGAAGGCACAAAATGCCATCTTTAGGAAGTGCAAACAAATTTAATAATGTTAAAATAATGTTTTAGAGCATGTGAGAGCATGTTAGATGCTTATCAAATAAATAACCTCTTAAGAAAGGGCAAACAACTATAAAGGAGGACATGTCTACAATAGGCACATTTTCCATTAGTATTTCGAATTTGAAAAAAATACAAAGGAATCAATTGGATTTTCTTGTAAAATGCTGCTTGAAATAAATGTTGATAAATTTCTAAGTGATTTAGAATAACCACTTATCTAATGAATAATATCATTTCGTTCTAGAATTTTATTATCTCCTATATAAATATATGTAATATCGGACCATGTATCTCACACTTGCCAACAACTTCCATGTATACTTCTTTCATGGTTTACAAGGTAAATACCATATACTATTAACATAATTATTCATTATATTCCATTTAAAATCTACTCTATTAAATCAATTAAACAATTTTACAAAGTAAAGTAAGTATTTTGACTTCCATACAAAGTACTAATTAAATCCTTTAACCCTTACCCTGCTGAAGTGGAAAGTGATTGTATAGAGCCAGGCCGTGCAGTCTGACCAGACTCTATACTGTTGGCTGGCCAACTTCAAATTCTCAGCCTGATATCCCTTAAAATTGATAATGGACTGTTCCAAAATAGAAATTGGAAAAGTCCATTTAAGAAATTTAGCAGTTTAAAGGTTAAACTGTACATAGAGGATATTTGTTTGTTTTGCATGTAAGATTGAAATATAATTTCACTGAGTGAACACCAGATGCAATATTTTCACGAGTGGCGTAGCCACGAGTGAAAATATAATAGCTGGTGTTCACGAATGAAATATATTTCAATCTTACATGCAAAACAAATAAATATTCTTTTTATTTCATGCTTTTAAGTGATTTTAAGTATTTTTTACTGATTTTGCCGCGTAACGTCGCGCATTCTCCTTTGTGACGTCATCACATCATGACGTCACCTCATCAATTTTATATATAATATAGTTCTGTTAAATTTCTCTAATTTTGTTACATTTTTAAGATGATGTATGGTGACATCGCCTTTCTTTTCCTAAAGAAGCAAAATTTACGCATAACAGCATTTATTTCTGTCTGTTATTACATTTAGTTATGATTCTCTTTTCATCCGCATTCAGATATAGTCTGGCTACAGTGAAAATTATATTTTATAAATTTCACTAGTGGTTTATCAGAATATAATCATCTGATATATTACAATAAAACACTGGAAAGCATGAAATAATTAATATTATTATATACTTAATATATTAATAATTATGTTCTATTGAATGAAATAGTAATTTAAGACAGGTATTAATCAATTTTCCTAGTGGAGCATTACATATACATTGCCCATACTCACTGGAAGGCAAAACTCTTCAAAAGCAGGTTTAACAAGGTTTGTATACTGATTCAATGTCTGATCCAGATCTCTACATCTCTCTTTGGTGTCTCTTAAAACTACAACAAACAAAACACAATTTCATTTAGTACGTTATGGTCATGCATATACAAATTCAACAGAAGTTATGTTCATTTATGTTTGCCTTTTTACTTTAAAATTCTAAATAACCAAAATATAACCGAAATTCTATATTCAATAACCATTATAAAGCAATTATTTTTTGGCCAGGGAAAAAAATCTCATTCACTCGTATTTTAAGAGTAGAACAGCAGGGCGATTGGTTAATTGTAGCCAGATCATATAATTAAGGGACAAATCAGGGGTTGACACTAACTTTTCAGCCAGGAATCCCAACGGGACATCTGTTTTTGAATTCAAAAATCCCTTCCCTAAGTTAGAAGTCCCTGATTTTTTTTTATATAATTTTAAGAATAAAGCAATAACCTTTGTTTATCAAAATTGATGTGCAACTTATTTTTTATTGTTCTTTCGTTCTACTTTTTGGGATGTTGATCATAGCCCATGGATCTGTGATAACATTAAGTGATGAAGGAATGAAATCCTCTATGTTTCAATTTCCAGCATTATTAAGTTTGGTAACAAAATCATACATGCAGTTGGAAGTGTTTATAGGTCTTGTAAAATATGTCCTAAATATTACTGACTTCAATACATATAATGCATTTTGTCCCTTTGTCTGTAGTTATGCAGTAAGTAATTTTCATTTGATATTATAATATTGCTGTATTAGGTCTACTTGAATAAGTGTAAACTAGTCATTGAAGAGAAGAAAATGAGTTACTGCAAAAAAGCTTTTTTGCTCATAATTCCTTTACATAATGATATCAATGACATGATAAGACAGGAACAAATTATTATTATTGCATTTAAAATATAATCACAAAATCGGTATATATTAAAAAATAATCCCAAAAAAATCACGCATCCGAATGTGTTTATCCGAAATCTATTACACTATTGATTATGGAATTGCCGACTTTTTCCACGGTGTAAGTGTTCTAACATCATAGTAAACATCAAATATAAAACAAAACTATAAAAAACATATCATTTTTACTATGGTGGTTGAAAATACAGCAAAATATCGGCAAATACTGACATTGGAATGTTTGGTATGTGGAGAATTTTCGTGTTTTGTAAACAATGTTTCATTTCCGGTTTACTTTTTGCAAGTTTATCACGTTTAATAAATACTTTTTTTTGCAAGATTACCATCTTAAATGAATACTTAAAAGTTGATTAAAGATCAGTATATTTTTTACTTAAAAACTTAAAAGTCCCAACGGGACATCTGACTTGGAACTTAAGAAATCCCTTGCCAATTTTTGGAGTCCTCGGGACCGCGGGACTGCGTTAGTGTCGAACACTGCAAATGAGCCGTGTCATGACAAAACCAACATAGTGCGTTTGCGACCAGCATGGATCCAGACCAGCCTGTGCATCCGCGCAGTCTGATCAGGATCTATGCTGTTCGTTTACCAACTCTATTACAAGTAGAGAAACTTATAGCGAACAGCATGGATCCTGATCAGACTGCGCGGATGTGCAGGCTGGTCTGGATCCATGCTGGTCGCAAACGCACAATGTTGGTTTTGTCATGACGCGGCTCATTAATGTCTTGCAGAATGAGTGGCTCTCAAAAATATATAATTTGATCATTCCAAGTTGTTATTTCTGGTGGAAACTTTGTTTCCTATTTAGAGATATTTCTTTTGAGATGTATGAATACAAGTCTTCTGTAAACTCTTTGCTTGCAATTACACCATGAAGAATTGTTGAGACTATAATTTTCTCAATAAAATAAGATAGTTAGAGTGTCAGAATATTTTCCATCAATCTGTTTTTGGTACTCAATAGGTTTCAAGTCGCACAAGCACTGTCAAGGTCATACGGCGACCGTCAAGCTGTGCCGGTACAGAAAGACTTTGAGTGTCCCTTTTATTTCAAGCAAAGTCTGGAAGATCAGTAGAACCGCATAGATTTTGTACCTTAAAACTTCTGTAATCAAGTTGGAAAGCCTTCTCACATGAAATAAATCAAGGTCTTTTCCAAGTATTGACAGCAAGGTGCAAGCCACTCAATTTTACCATCAAGTCTCATTTCTCTGACTTTAATTGCATTTATCCTGTCACTTGTATCAATTTCGGCCCGATAACAAGGTGCCGTATATTTTTACTGATCTACGGCACTTGATCACGTGGTATGCATGTTTGCCGGACTACTTTTCAAGAAAAAATATAAAAACTGTCGTTAAATCTTCTGTGTGTAGAATAACGAATTTTGGAAATGTTGATAAAACTTTGTTTGTTTATTTTATTTCACTCTATAATTTTTCAAGCGAAATAAAAATTATTAAAAGTGAAATAAATGTAAAACTTAACTCGTTTTCGATATTAAAATAGCGTACTTGATCTGATTGTTTTGCACGTGCTGTTTGGCGCAACATTGTGACGTCACGTAAACAATACTTTAAACGTCTGTACAGCGTTAACGACTGAATAAAAGATATTGGTGTTCGAATTCATTTTCTTAGTTAGACCATTTTCTTTCATTCTAGATAGTTTTCACAACATAATTCGACAAAAAATTGTATTTATTTATCACATTTTTCAAACAAAATGGCGCCCTTAATGTAAAAATACGCAGGGAGATAATAAGAACGGCAAGTGCATTGTTGTAGAATAATGCACACTTCGGGCCTTTTTTGTTTATATAGAAACATTTCCGATACTGTGAATAAAGGTAGTTTGCCTAATAAAATTCTTTAAAAAAACGGTGACAGGATAAATAGAATAATAGATTGGTGCCGTGGATGGAGAAAGTTTATCTGGCTCTGCTCCGGAATTTATTGGGTTCGCCTGAGGCTCACCCAATAAATTCCTCCGCCTCGCCAGATAAACTTTCTCCATCCACGGCACCAACCTATTATTCTCTATATGCTTGAAAATCCAATAATCTACCATTTTTGCAACTTTCACTCAAATGCATTATATATGAAGTAAGTTTGACATTTATTCACTTAAAACAAAATAAAAAGTAGGCAAGTGATTTGTCAAAGGGAGTGAAGATGAATGAAATATTAACACAAATGCAGACAGGCATTTGTCTATCTATTACATATTAGTTTTACCAATCTGTTAATGGAATAGTTACCTCTTCTACTTAGCCTAGTATCTGGATCCGTATCAACAAACAATTTCATGTGAAACATGTTCCGTAACTCTGGCCAATAAAATACCAAAATCCCTTCAAACAGGACCACATCGGCCGGATAAATGGCAAGATTCGAACTTTTCCTACAGAACAAAATCAATGCTAACAAAGCTGAATGTTGATATAATGTCTAATTCAATATCATTAATAAATTTAGATTGTATCATATAACAAAACACTTTCGAGTAAAATTGTAAATGCTGATTTAAAACCATCATTCCAGGATTTGAATGCAGTCTTATAAGAATTATTACCAAAGATACATTTTTTTCAGCCTGAGAAAAAGTTTCTATGGAAAAAGTAAAACTTTTGCTGGCTTAAATTTAATTAATTAAATCATCAATATATTAGATTATCTAGAAAGTTAAACAAATTTTCTTTAAAGCCCAGTTTTGAAATTAATATTTTCCCAGTAGGTATCCAATATGTGAACTTCTTCCATGTGGGAAACAGTGGTCTTTTATGAGGGGTAATTTTGAAAATGAAAGTACATGTATAATATACCGCTGGAAACATTATTGTTTCTCTTTCTAACCAAATGTCTGTTTTTGCCGATGTGTGTGATTGCCTAGATTAATTTATGTAAAGCACACATGACCAAGAAATAAATCTACAAGGCTTCAATTTGTTCAGGTTTAAAGAAGTACCTGTAAAGTTTTCAAGATTTTAGATATACACCAAAATGTGTAAGAAAGCACTGTACTAAAGCTGCAAAGAAAGCCCTTAATATTCAAAGTGTTCCACAAGAGTGAATGGTACCAGTACATAACAAACAGACTACCTGGTACTGTACCAGTATATCATCATACATGAAACAGGGTGTGCTTACCTGGAATTCGTGACATAATCATATGATGGTATTTCCACTGTTTTCCCTTGTACAATTTTTGACATTGTTTCAAACATAAAGTCATAATCATATGCCTCTGAAATATATAAAAAGAAATCAATCAACAATGCTTTCAAGGGCTTTTTCCCCCCTTTACCCTCAGTTTCGGAATGATTTTTTAAATCATCTATTTTTCCCCTTAAAGATCCTGTAACACAATTTTTTCATGGTTTTATTTCATAAATATGATGCTCAAATTAAGATTTGTCAATATTGTAAGTTCCAATAAGCTTTAGCATTATTTATAAAGATATTACCCAATCTAACATTTCATGTAAATAAAGGGAGGTAATTAGAAATTTATTTTTCTATAAATTCTTAGTCAAATTTTCCAATAAATTATAAGAAATGAATGCATGTAATTTCTTGATTAAATATAATGTGCACAAATATTTGCTGTACACATTTTACATATTCTTCGATGTTAGAAAATTGTTTTATTTGCATAATTATATACATAAATAATTTTTTGCAAGTGTGGTATACACACAGTAACAATATCAATCACAAAACATACACGATCTTTGAATTAAAGTTCAACTTTTTCTTCAACTTAAGCAAAAATACTGCTTTACTCTCCTTAAAATATAAGTCTCAGGCTACTTGTGAAGTGTGTAAAGCTATACATAACCTGCCTGCAGTTTACATAATTTTTGTTTAAAGTATGAAAAAGAATAGTTTCATATTGCCTGTATGAAAAACTGTATGAAAGAAAGCCCATAAAATGTTCACAAATAAATCAGACATGCTTTTGTTAACTTACCTGGATGGTCAAAATTAAACTGTCCTTTAGCTGCCTGTTCTTTTTCAGCATCATTTAATACTTTGTAAAATGAGTCTTGTCCAATAATAGCAACTTGACGCTGTCTCCTATCAACATCTGTTTGTCCTAACTGTTGCATAATCTTCTCACACACTGTTGACTGTAAACAAAAGACCTAATAAATATGATAATATATATGCCCACACATATGTATATCAAAGCATAAAACCTACACTGACATTAAAATACCTTATAAACTGCAATTCATGAATACCATATATTACCAATATTTGAAACACCAGACACAATAAGTTCCATCTAGTTTAGATAAAAAAATTTCAAATACTTAAATTGGGCAATGAGTTATCAATAACATTAATGATACACAATAAATGTCAAATATACATATGAATGACTACATGAGAAAATATGCATTAGCTCAGTCTGTAGATCTCATAACAATAATCCAAAGTCTGCAGATCCGAGTCCTGATCATTATTCAACATTGGCAAGAAAAGGTGCCGAATGCCTGACCTGGATTAGACCCCTACATGTTACTGTATGTATTTTTTCAGGAGTAAAACTTGTAAAAATGGAATGAACCTTGTATTACTCCTGGTTTCAATCCCGGTGTCTATTCCTGGATGCAGCTTTTTTTCTCCACGACATTTGGGGCCAAACAGCCTAATAGTATATACATTAGCTGTCAAGTCAGCTATATCCTAGAAGAGACACCCGGGGGTCTAAACCAGGAGTATAGATTAGGGCTGTGCATTGCCATTTTTTTCTGTCACGATACATATCACGATATTTGTTTTTCAAAACGATGCGATTCAGGATATGTATTGCATACTTTGAAGAAATGCTATGCATATTGCGATTCTTATGTTGCGATGCGATACGTATCACGATACTGACTTTCAGACTTAGTATATAAATATTTGGCCATTTGTTTGCAGCATAATCATGAATATAATATAAAACTATTACAATAACAAACTAGAAATGTGTCCATAGGACACGGGTGCCCCCACCGCGCCACTGTTCTGTCAATCTTATGACTCTAGGTCAAATATTTTTTGAAAACTAAAAATCTTTTACTAAGTAAAGGGCAAGAACTTTACAAATACTGAATAAATCCACAAGCAAACCCCAAGGTGCATAAGTACACATGCTGACCAACATTCTTGTAAACTTTCAGGCCTACAAGTGAAATACTTTTTGAGCTATGCATGAACAAGTTGAAAATTGCAAATTTATACCACTGTAAGTCAAGGGCAATAACTCAAATAACAACAAAACTGTAAAAAATCCACATGCAAAGTCCCAGGTTCATAGCTTCACAGTGATGTGAATCATTATTCCTGTAATTTAGTGATGTTGATCATTATTCCTGATCTAACTCAAGCACTCAAGGAACAAATAACAACATAATAAAACGGTTTTTACTAAGTCAAAGGAAATAACTCTACAAATACTAGATAAATCCACAAGCGAAACCCCAGGTGAAAAACTAAATATGCTGAGCAACCTTCCCGTAAGGTTTAATGACTCTATGTCAAATCCTTTTTGAGTTACATGCGACACAAGTTGAAAATTGCAAAAAATTTCTAAGTCAAGAGCAATAACTCTAAAAATACTAAATAAATCCAGACGAAACACCCAGGTGCACAACTACACATGCTGATCAACATTCCTGTAAAGTTTCATGACTCTAGGTCAAATCCTTTTTGAGTTACATGTGACACAAGTTGAAAATTGCAAGATTTTACTAAGTCAAGGACAATAACTCTAAAAAATACTAAAAATATCCAGACGAAAATACCCAGGTGCACAACTACACATGCTGATCAACATTCCTGTAAAGTTTCATGACTCTATGTCAAATACTTTTTGAGTTACGTGCGACACAAAAGAGAACGGACGGACGGAAGGACGAACGGACGGACAGGGGTAAATCTAAATGCCCGCCACTAAAGTGGGGGCACAAAAAAATAAACTCTTTAACTTGTTGTTATAACTTGGTTTCCGATTTTGATCTTTGAACAATTTACTTTTCTGATTACTTAAGGATTAAAGGTATTGTTAATTATACCATAACTGCAAATTGATATCTACTATTCTAACACTAATGTCCAATACTGTAAATATGGCAGTTTAACAATTTCAGTCTTACAATACACCACTAAAGATTTTTCTTGTGAAAAAAATAGTAACAAGTGATTTACAATTAGGTCAACAACTGTGAAAATAACAGTTTATCAGTTTCACTCTCAGTTTTCTCGAAAGATTTTTGCTCAACCCCAGAGTATTTTATTTTGAGTTTGCAAATTTTGCAAATACTCTGGGGGATTACTCCACGTCCGGACTTCCACTGTTTACACAACACTGCCTGATGGTTCCCCAAAAACTACAATTTTCCCCAAAAACTACAATGTTCCCAAAACTCGTGAATTATATGACCAGGGAGGATTAACTATAGTTTCCCCTTCTAAATATTTTGCAGTCTACATGTTTTCTGTTTGTTTTGTTGTTGTTTTTTACCGGAAAATGATGTCAACAGAAATGAAAGTATATAAATACGTGACGAATATCACATGGGAATGTTTTCATCATCACTATTTTAATCCGACATCAAGTGCGACTAAATGAAATTACAAATTCATGTTTGTAGGTTGTTTTTTCTTGAAAACGCATAGATCTCTAATTATTTTTTTATTATAAACAAGTTCAAAGAATACCAGCCCATTTATATGGAATTGATAAAACTTGGTTAGTAACCGTTAAATGATTGCCGACATGGGGAAACGAGATGACAACGATGATATGATAATAGTCGCTCTTGTTCATTGTTTTCATCTCAGCTATTGTTCTTCAGTCTTTCAAAAAATACGTTTGTCCTTATATTCCTGGAGATATTGTTAGTGTATTGCGATACTTTCCCGCTATATTGATACATCGGGAGGTGAAATATGTATTGCATCGCAATATATTGGAATTAGTAATTTCATTATGATGCATACATCTAGGACAGGGCAGATCGCGATGCATCGATGAATCGTTACACCTCTAGTATATATAAAGTTCATTCCGTTTTCTTTAGTGTATTATAATTATAAATACAAGTTGCACTTCTGAAATATACATAGGGGTCTAATCCGTCAAGCCAAAGATAAGTGGCATTTGTTCCCATAACCTGTTTAAATGAGAACAAATTTAATTACGGTGGGAACATGAGACACAGTAATGACTTTAAATGATCAATTCGGGCAAAAATGTTTCATTTGCCAGCTACAAATAGTAAGTACAATGTTTTCATTCAGCAATTTCATTTGTAAGTCTGCTGAGGTCCCTATTTCAAGTCCTGATCTGACTTGCACTTACTTTTAAATCTATGTAGATATCTTTTAAAGACTCGGACCAATAAATTCTGTATTTGATCCGAAAATTCCATGTCCGAAATACACGACACTTGAGATTAAAACCTGCTTATTTATTAATTCGATGCGCAAATTCAAAACAAAAGATCGCACATTTACCTTTCCTGATGCGGTACCACCTGCCACGCCAATGACAAACGGTCTTGGAACGCGATCTACACCGTTCCCTCGATGTCCTAGATCGCGCACGGCTGCCATGTTTATACTTTTTTCAGCCTAATTGGTAAATATTGTAATGCAGCGAGGTCAAGGTTAAAATAAACATATAATTTGTCCTACATTATCTGGAAGATACACTATACCAAAAAAAAAAGATAATAAGAAATAATGTAAAAAAATGTATGGTTAAAACTGGAATCAGATCAAATTTAATAGAATGAAGAAACTTTTATTTTAAGGCACGTGCGTATATGACACAAGACACTAAAACTTAAGGAGGAACACCACTATTGCAATTCATAGAAAAATGCGACATTTGACCTCTAATTCTATCGAGGCGTGGTAAGATTAAGCACGTCATATAAATCCGTGGATTAAGTTAGAAACTTAAACTTTGTTGGTTTTATTCTTTAATTCAACTTTCGTCTTCAGGTTTATTGTAAATCTTTCTTTTTCATAAAAAATATTATACTTTTTTGCTGTGCTATATTTTCATACAGGTAAGTTTTTTCAGGGTCTTTCAAATAGAATTCTATTTGAAAGACCCTTACCTACAATTTTAATACAAAATGTATGCATACTGTACTGTGCACAGTTATATACATGTATATACTTGTGTATAGTGGGCAATTGTGGAAATTTTGTTGTTCAAAGCAGGCATGACCGTTCTGCTATGTGAAAATATCTAGATATTTTAAAATGTGTGACACCTCGGAAGCATTAATCACAACAAAATTACATGAAAATTGCAGACTCGGTTCGATTAAGTCTGTACATGAGGGATAAAACCATTAATGGTAAGGTGCAACTCTCGTGGCCCCTATAGCACCGGCTAGAGCGGTACTTAATTTTCAACATGCAATAGTGGTCAGGTTCTAATGAGAATCAATGCTTTACACGGAGACCAAACGATCACAAATTATAACTGGAGAAAGTTCTCAGGGCTCAGTAGATTTATATATAAGTGTCCCTATATAAAGATGATGGACTGAACAACAACAACTAGTAAATTCAATTTCAATCAATGCTTTTAATATATGAAAAGCCCTAACAAACTGAAAGAGAATACTAATCAAATTATATTTAGTTTTATATTAAGAATAACTATATTTATTATTTAATTAAGATTATGTTTATGATATTTTTTATATATGGTCGTTTATAATAAACATAAATGTTTGTTAAGGACTAAGTCCAGTTTAATGTTTCAAGGCTAAGCCTTGTTGTACTGACCAGAGTAGGTACAGTACCTAACCTAGCTAACATTACCAAAGTCAGCTTATTTATACAATTCAGTATTCAAAACAACAATTTGATTGGTTGAGAATAACATTGTATATACCATGCAATAAGTATGAAAGATAGTAACTCATAACTTATAGATTAACTGTTAACTTAGATTACCGTAAATACCCATCCTATTACATTCCTCCCTCCTTAAAAACAAAGAAACCCCATGTAATTAGAGATTAAAATTTAATAAATATAATGTCAAAAACAAAGGAAGGAAAGAATTACCCTTTTATTTAAGAAACTTATCAAAATTACAAAACAAAAATTTACTTTCGAAAAGTATATGAATCAAAATAAGAAAAGTATGTACATCAAAATAGTGAACTGACAAAACACGATTAACTATCAATGTAAATATCAAACATGGAAAACAAATTCAGGTTATTTACAATAAGAATGAAACATCACTCAAGCAACACACCACTTTCAATGTTCTTGATGAAACTGTAAAGTCCTGTTGTTAGAATACACTCTGAATTGAGCACATGCAGTAGTGGAATATGAACAATGTGAAGTCCATGATGTTTCACCATTACAAGCGGTGTTTTGTGTGTTACAACTGGCTTGAGTATGTACATGTATATGAAGTCTGAAAAATTAAACAAGAATTAATATTCATATAAACATAATAAATGACAAGTCTAAACTCTTTATCTTTCAGACATACAATGTGGAACATATATTCAATTCCATATGTCAACATGAATACTGCTATTTTAAATCAAACTATGTATTATCATCACAATATTTAATTAATGTATACTTTGTATTACATTTACATTTTTAGGATAAATGATTCATATCAATTTATCTTCCTCTAAAGTCGTGTTGATTTAAACTTGGTATTTTTCTGTACATTCCATTTCATACATAAGTCTAAGTCTTGGTTAGACATGGTCATTTTTAAGTAGCATTTCACTCTTTTAATCCATGACATCAGTTCTAGCATAATTATTTTGCTTTGAATAAGTAACTGCTTGCTTCTCTCAAAGTATAAATATGTTTGAAATATTGACACAGAGTTTGTGTCTAATGTTTCAAAAGATTTACTTTGATTCTTGTCAAATGCATATTGAAGTATCATTTTACCATTATCTATTTTATCTATAAACCAGTACTTGCGTGTTGCACTTAACTTATTCAAATTGTCCTGATTGTAGCTGTGTAATAATGGTTTGTTTTCATGAGAAATATCTGTTATTTGTACCTTTGCACACATTCTTGAGTTAAAGTTATACACTCTCACTTTTCCCATACTAGTTTTTAGCAAGCGTTTGTGTACTTTCAGGCTGACATTATAATTTTCGAAGAAATCAATGCCTAAAATGCCTATTGTTTCCTCAATATCCGCAACTATAAACTCAAAACAGAAAACAAGATGTTCAATTTCAAAATTAATCATACATTTTCCAGCAATTTTCAGCCTGACTCCATTTGCTGTAGACAAAGGCATTTTAACAAGTTCTAACCTAGGCTTATTTTCGAGTCTATAGTAACACTTGGTGGAAATGATAGAAACTGGACTTCCAGAATCAATGAGCATACCTCCCTTGATCTGCCCTATAGCAGTTTTCACATAATAACATGATGTTTTATTTTTTTCGCCTATATCAGAAACAATGTTTTCCTTTTCTTGGCCTAAACTTTGAGGTGTTTTTATATCAACATTATTCTGTTGTAAAACCTTACTCTCAATATGATTTGAATCAGTGACTTTAAATTTCAAACTTAATGGTGTACATTTACTCGTACTTTGTTCAACTATATTTGCACGGTATACATTTTGACCTTCATTTCTCGAACACTCTTGTCCTAGTTTTTGACCTAAGTCACGTTGAGCATTCGTCTCTGTTATAGTAGGAGTAGGACTTAATTCGGGTGGAGTAATTGTTATTTCCGGGATTTTCTTATACAATGTGTTTTGTTCATTTGTATTTGAATGTTCAGACGTTAAAGTACTTTTAACGGAACAATGTTTATGTTTGTCAATTTCTGGTAAACTAACATTTTTCAAGTTCGTGTTTTCAGTGTTTTCACTAATTTGTGAACACTTTGTGTCACATTTTGTCATAGTTATGTCACATATTGGCCTAGTATTTTTACAAATGACTGAAGTTTTGGCCACAACCTCAGTCCGGTCTAGTTTTCCTGTAAGGGAGCATTTTGTTTTAGAAAGCAACGGCTCTCAATATGGCCTTTCTTTTTACAAAAAGTACAGAAAATATCTCTACGCTCTTTGAAAAAACATTGACTTTCTGTATGTCCCAGTTTATTACAATATGAACAGGAAATATTCCTAGAATTATTCCTTAAATTCCTATTTGGGGAATGATTTGGGGATCTATTCTGAATTCCCACTTGTCTGTTATTGTGTGGAGATGAATCTGCACGTAAATTACGTGAAGGGCTATTTTGTCTTGATATGTTTTGTTTCTTAATAACATTATCAGAGTATTTGTTTTCAAGCATAGACATTTTTTCATTAAACTTTTGTTCAAGTTTTTGATCTAACAAAGAAGATAACATTTGCTGTAAATCTTCAAGATTACAATCAGTTTTCATATTTGATGGCCTAAGGGAAGAAACTATATTTTCTTTCAATGGAAGAGTAGTCCCCCTTGTAATTTCGTCATCTACGGGTTTTGATCTTTTATCAAGTGACCCCTGTAAAGCAGCATATTCTACCGCGGCACTAATAGCTTGATCTAAAGTAGTTGGATGTAAAAATTGTACATGTTTTTGTAACTCAAAACTACCCAGACCATGAATGTACTGATCAATGATACAAGATTCGAGTGCCGTATGGGGCATTAAAGGAAATGCTTTCTGTCCTATACGTCTTAATGCGTATCCATAATCTGAAACAGACTCCCCAGAATTCCTTTTCCTGTTTCGGAATTCACACCTATATGCCAGTTCCCGCTCTTGTGGACTGAACCTTTGAGTCAGGGCTCGTTTTATTTCATTATAGTCTGTTAACTGAGAGGAACTTAATGTTGAAAGTAGGCGTTGGGCTTCCCCCCTTAAATTTATGGATAACATGCACGCCTTTTGTTGCTCATTCCATTTATTCCAGGAGGCAACACGTTCAAAATGAATTACATAATCTGTCCACTCAGTGGTAGAACCATCAAATTTGTCTGGTTTTATGTTTCTATTTGAGTTTGAATGAGGACTAGTATGATTTTCATGTGTATTATAATTAAATACTGGCATGTTACTAGGCAAAGGCATATACACTGAGAGGATGTTCTAACTAGACCTTTGGTTAATCAGCTATATTTTTTTAATGTATTGATCAATTTAGGTTATATTTCGGATATTTATTACTACACATAAGATGCATACTTCTGTAGAATTTTATTCAAATCACATTTCGATAAAATGTCAAACTTAACAGAAAAAAAAGTCTTATAAAAAGTCAAAGTCGCAAAATGGCGGCAAAATAACAATGTGAAAAGTCACTCAACAATATCACTTAACTGTCCTGGTAAAACTCTCTGGTTTAATATTTGGTGTGACCACCTCTAGCTCTCAGTAAGTGAGCACATCGTTGTCTCATCGACATAACATAGTTTGAAATAGTCTGCTGAGGAATGTTGGCCCATTCTTGGATCAGCATCTGTTCCGAACACGGCGGCCAAGTTCATCCCACAAATGCGCAATGGGGTTCATGTCCGGGGATGTAGACGGCCATGGAAGAACTCTCACTTGTTGCTGTCGTAGAAGCCTCTCCGTGGTCGCAGCTGTGTGCGGGGTCGCCCCATCCTGCATCAGAACCATACCTCGCCCACCGGCACGCAGGTGAGGAATGGCCTCCGGAATCAGAATCTCCTGTTGATATCTCAAAGCGTTGAGATTACCACGGATGACTACGAGGTTGGTCTTAGTATGAAAGGAAATCCCAGCCCAAACCATCACCGATCCCCCACCGTAGTGGTCACGCTCGTGAACGCAGCTGTCGTTCAAACGCTCGCCTCGACGCCTATAGACGCGTATCCTTCCGTCACTGTTTTTCAAGTTGAAACGGCTTTCGTCTGTGAATAAGACGTTGGCCCATTCAGCACGAGTTATTCTCTGGTGACGGCGGGCCCATTGCTCACGTCTTCGGCGATGTACGTCGGTAAGTACAAGGCTACGAAACGGCCTCCTTACTCTTATACCATGATCACGGAGGCGGTTAAGTACCGTTTTCTGGCTTATTGATCTGTTATGAGTGCCTATCGTCTGCCTGGCGGTTGAAGCTGCAGTTCTAAAACGGTTGTTAAGGTGATCAGCAACAATCTGTGCATCTTGTGCTGGAGTTGTCACTTTTCTGCGAGGTTGCCTGTGCTCATCTTCAACACGACCTGTGCGCTGGAACTTGGTGAAGAGGTTGGTGATTGTAGAGACATGCCTGCCAAAAATTCGAGCAAACTGCAGAGAGAACAGAAGACATGCAACTTCATATCATATATGTACATTTTCTAAGCTATAAATGCTAAAATAATTTGATTAAATATTGTTATTTACAATAAATTATTTCACGAAGAATGATTTAATACCATATTTAGATGAACAGAATATTTTAATGATGAATACCTGTACTCGGGATGAGCCAGCCTGTAACATGCCAATTGCGCGAGCGCGTTCTGCATTGGTCATACGCGGCATTTCAGCAGTTCTATCACTAAAATGTTTTTTTGGTATGATTTTTGCTATCGAATACTGATTTGATAAGAAAAATCGATTTTGAGCACTGAATTCACAAAATCTCGTGCATAATTATAAAACTACACATGAAAGCACGTGCAAATTGGAATATCGTCACGGTCGATGATTTTCATGATTTTTAAAAAGCATTGACCATGTAACTAATAAATGCAAATAATAAAGTCCATACCTTTTACCATTATTGAATAATTTTAATTTAAAAAAGGTCTAGTTAGAACATCCTTTCAGTGTAGCTTGACTGCGTATGAGGTGTCATGTATGCAGCATTTGTTTGTATACACTTTTGAGATGTCTGTCCCATATTATTATTATACATATGAGGTAATGTATGCGTTAATGGTGTTTGGTAAGTGTTGATGGTGATTGGTGTAGTATATCTCTTTAAACCTGGTGCTGTAGTCAAAGGAAGTGAATGCTTAACATCACTATATTCTCTTATAGTAACCATTGGTACTGTGTAAGATTTATTTTGAGAAATTGTTTCTTTCTCTCTATCATAATTTACTGAACGCATTTGTGGGGTAAACGTTCCTAGGCGCTGATGTTGTTGTCCATTGTTTGTATTAGACAAAACAAAGCCATCACTGGTTCGTAACAACCCTTCATTACTACCCTTAGAAACTAACGGTGTCTGTACATGTGTACGCGTAGGCATATCTGAACTATACCTGCTATAAATAATTTGTTCAGGTGTATTCAAATGTCCCTTAATTTCAGTTTTATGGATAGGGGAAAACACAAAATTTTCTTCCAAATATGGAGACCTTAATTTATCATCAAAAGTTTCACTATACCTTTGTGAATGTGCTGTGTCCCTTTGCCTTGTATTAGAAGGAAATGAATCTACATAAAGTGGTGAATGAGTGTTTGAAATTCTCGTGCTAGGTGTAGTAGCATGTATATTATGTTCATTATATCCTAACTGTTCAGTTACATAATATTGACCGATACCGCCGGTAGAAAAACTTGTTTGACCACCTTGTGCCATGGTATACCTTTACCTGCACTTTATATACATATACATGTATTATATTATATACACTCAAGATAATATTTTTCCCACTGTTTATAAACCTTACACTTTTAAACAAGTATATAGTCAATATATCATGTTTTAAACTTTTTTATTTTTGTTTTACTTTATCATTTTATGACATAAATGTATGTTTATTTTATAATTTATTTTCATATATTTTACTTATTTTATGTTACTAAATTACAAATATATCCTATGTATTTTTTTTTTTTTTAAACTCCTAAATTTTTAATTTACCCTATTTTATTCCTAATTTTAATTTTATCTTAGATTTATATTATTATTGTATTGAATAGTCCAACATCTATATAATAATACACATCTACTGAATAATGCCCTATATACTTTCTTACATTTATACATGTATTTCAGATTAACATGAAATGTCTGTACTTTGCTATACTAGTACACAAGACACTGAAAAATAATAATTAGCAAAAAGAACACACTATATAAAGTCACCAGTTATGAAACCAATGTTATAGTGCAATATAAATTGAAAATGAGATAGATTCTCAAATTACTACACGTAATTATATTTAGTACAATTCACAAAGTTTGTACCAAACAATACACAAATTTTATAGATCTACATGTATATAGTCATGTCATCACTGTAAAAGTTGTATTATTTACACAATACAAACTAAACTTAATTTATATATGACTTATATACATGTATAGTCTCTATGCAAGCACTGTATTCTAAGGTCACGGCACCAATGTAATAGTGGTCAGGTTCTAATGAGAATCAATGCTTTACACGGAGACCAAACGATCACAAATTATAACTGGAGAAAGTTCTCAGGGCTCAGTAGATTTATATATAAGTGTCCCTATATAAAGATGATGGACTGAACAACAACAACTAGTAAATTCAATTTCAATCAATGCTTTTAATATATGAAAAGCCCTAACAAACTGAAAGAGAATACTAATCAAATTATATTTAGTTTTATATTAAGAATAACTATATTTATTATTTAATTAAGATTATGTTTATGATATTTTTTATATATGGTCGTTTATAATAAACATAAATGTTTGTTAAGGACTAAGTCCAGTTTAATGTTTCAAGGCTAAGCCTTGTTGTACTGACCAGAGTAGGTACAGTACCTAACCTAGCTAACATTACCAAAGTCAGCTTATTTATACAATTCAGTATTCAAAACAACAATTTGATTGGTTGAGAATAACATTGTATATACCATGCAATAAGTATGAAAGATAGTAACTCATAACTTATAGATTAACTGTTAACTTAAGATTACCGTAAATACCCATCCTATTACAAACACATAAAAATGTTGGAACCAATGATCCCGAAGGACCAGAAAAATATAAAAACACAGAAGTGAAGTATGGGGCAACATTTTACAGCTGCCACACAGCACTTGACCTGCTGTTGTGGGATAAAATGTGATCCCTCGATCGGAAGCTTTAATCACAATAGAATTACATGAAAATTGCAGACTCCGTTTGATTGAATCTGTAAGTCAAATTTTCTGGGAAGAATTAATACCAGTTAAAAAAATCTGAACACATTTGTTTAAAAAAGAACTCAGATGAAATAATTATGGTGTATAATGTAAATTCTATGACATTATTAAAAATAATTTGATCTTATATTTCAATAAAATACACAATTTAAAAAAAACTTCCTCCTTGTTTGCGTGTGATCTTAAGATTTTATTTTTCAATTATTTGAGCCTGATATTTTTTAAGGCCAATTCAACGATCCAAACTTGATTAAAATCACGGACTTTAATTAAAGTCCATGATAAAATACATGAAAACTTATTTTCCTAGTTTTACATGTATATTATGGTGTACAATGTTAAATTCTATGACATTATAAAAAATAATTTGATCTTATTCTCAATAAAATACACAATTTAAAAAAAAAAAAACTTCCTCCTTGTTTGCGTGTGATCTTTTAAGATTTATTTTTCATTATTTGAGGCCAATTCAACGATCCAAACTTGATAAAATCACTGACTTTAATTATAGTCCATGATAAAATACATTAAAAACTTATATGTATATTGCAGTGAACGGCAACTCCAACTGAATGCTGATTCGAAATTCTTTGTAAATCTATAGATCCTTTCTTTATTATAAACTGCAAGAAAATAAAAAATTTAATACTTTTCTAATTACAGGCCAGAGTTTGATACAAAAGAAAATTTAAATATTAGCTTTTTAGGAGAAATATACCTATTTTGGACAAGGGAAAACAGTCTTTATTTGGCTGCTAAATACTTTAATGATTTATAACCACATATTAGCAATATTTTGAAACACACTTGACATGAACCAAGTTTAAATTAAATCTCAAATATATGCTTTTGCAATGTGGTTATGAATTTTGGTCAGGCGATCTAACGACCAGCAACAAAAATAATTATAATTATATAATCGACTTTTTTTTGTCTGCTTAATGGCTAGAAGTTAAATCTGAACGTTGACATTGGAAAAATCATTGGTACAAAGATACATTTTTCGGACCCTTAATTAAAACGCCGTTTCCACGCCCTTATTTATTACGAATTTTACGTTTTTAAATCTGTTTTAAAAGTCACATGCAGTGAGTATGATATATCAATTGGTAGGCTGGTAGCCTCTTGATGTTATTTTGCCTCTAGATACACCCCGCCAAAACCAAGGGAGGTAAATCAAGTGTTGAAGTTTTGCCCGATTTGTAAACATACTATCTAGGTAAGTTGGATATTTACTTAATGTCATTTCTGCAGAAGTTCAGATAAAGATTATTTGTCAGTAAACTATCTATTCTAATCATCTTTCTTTCCTTGTCAGTTAATTAATTATAATTAGTTGTCACAGTTGTTGCAGATTTATTAAATGAGCACATTGTTTGAACACTTAAGTACTGTATACTAGTACACATGTATATAATATAATATATCTGGGGATCATGATCTTTGTTCTACCCTTTTCTTCCAAGAATAAAAACTGTTATACTGATACATGTTCATTGTATTTTGAAAGACCGCGTGGTCTGGGGAGTTTTATGCAGGTTCATATTTTAAACTAGGTCAGGGAGATAAAGGTGTCACACATGTATATTATTATAGTTGTACTGTATACATACCGATGCGTCAGGGGCGGAAATGTTAAGTTGACTGTGGATAAGTTTTGCGCTTCCTAATTAACCTGTCTGAACCTTCAGTTCTAAATAGGAAATAATCAGTTTTTGTCTCTATAGATCACAGCAGGCATTCGGCTCATTTATCTCGCCAATAATGTTAAAATTATCATAAAATAACCTCTCTTTGATCATTAAAAACGATATTTTTATCTTAACAGCACCCGGTCAGTCATTCCGAAAACATTTTAAAAACGGACTGAATTAAACCAAATGTTTAAATATTTTGGTACACTGTACTATAATGCGATGAGGTCAAGTCGAGTCAAGTAAATTTTATTTATATAGTCGGAAACATGTACATGTGCATGCATAAACATTCAAATATAAGCTTTTTCCCTCGACTGCACAATATTACAATTGATACATAATAAAGATGTATGAAAACCATTGTTAAGTTACAGTTATGGTATAACGATCTGACTGTTATGTGGAAATATCATCATGATCATGGGCGAGATCGACGGCATGAAGTTGGTTTTAATTATCACTTTAAAACATGCGTTTTTCGTTTATAAATTAGATCGTGCGCTGTCATAAAACGAACTAAAGTAGTGACCACACTGCTCGTGACCATATATTGGTTAAAACATCTATATTTTTTTAAATGTAAAATTAATTTTTTTATAAAAACCCCCCAAAAAAAACCCGCACACATTGCCACAGAAACGACTGAAATTTTCATTCTTTAGAAAGAGCAAACACGAGTTTTATAACGTAATGTTGTGGAGCATATATATTATGCTCTTTACATAAAGAAAGTGAATGTCAAGTTATTGTTCGTAAAAGTAGCAAAATGTAAACAAAAAAATATTTAAAATTCATAAAAATACTCAGCACTTCTGTAATAAATTTCCCAAAAAGTAACAGAAAAAATCGTGGGTTGGGTTTTACCCAAAGCGCTACGTAATATTTAGCAACCCAGGCTTTTAAGAAAAAACAGGTCTCCCCAAACCGTTTTCAAATGGGGGACAGCAGTTCAAGCGTCGACAGCTGTACGAGTATATACATGTCGGCGCAGGAAACACAATCGACATACGTTGCGTATTCATCTATTTTCAACATATCCCAACTATATATACTGGTACAGCTGTCGACGTTTGAACTGCTGTCTGCCCATTTGATTGTATGGTGTGGATGTGAGCACTAGTCATCCTGGGACAAACGTGCTATTGGATGCCTGATAATTAACTCTAATTACCATAATTATCGATTCGCTTGTGATTTCCGTGTAATATAATGTATATTTATATATGTATTCGTATATTAACATGTATAGTGAACTTATTTAAGTGATGTTCCTTAAAATTGTACAGCGCTTTGTTATTATTTACATAGTAGCGTTGCATAGCAATGTACTAATCTTCACAATTTGACTTTTAATTGCCTATAAAGTATTCGTCTTTCCACATTTCTTAATAGCTGTTTAAGTTTATAGAATATAAGCTGCAGCTTGTAGTTTACAAAATTTAAGTATTGAATGAATTTTGAAAAAAAAAACAATAATTCCAAAATACCTATGAAACAAATATGTATTGGTATATTTTCTTCCAAGCGAACGGCGGATGCACGGAATTATTGTTAAATCCACTGTAATTTAAGTACGTGATTTTATCAAGTATGCGCTGTTGAATGGGCCTTAAAATAGTTAAAATAGGTTATTCTGTTTTCGTATAGTATCCATGTGTAAGTTAAAAATGATAAAATTTGTGTTACAACTCTTTCGAAAATCGAATATAAGAATAAGGAAACAGTTTAACATTACTGTTAATAAATCTTGTAAAAGTTTTTTTTTAGAAATAGCTTTTAAAGGCACATTATGCCTCAGAAATACACATTCAGTAAATTCTTTAGAAATGTCAAACATGCGTTGAAAAATGTTTTCATAATTGCTTTAGAGCATGTTTAAATGTTAAACAGCTGAAGAAAGTAGTGTTGAATGTTCAGTTATGTACCGTAAAGATAGCAAAATGCAAACATAGTATTTTGACCTACATACAAAATACACATTCACTTAAATTATACCAATTGCAAAAGAAGCAAAGGTAGAGCATATGTATGGTAACAAGATACCAAAAAATAGAATGTTTTTGAGGAATAAAAATAATAACATGTCTGAGGCATTATGGGCCTTTAACCCTTTATGGGCCCTTAAAGGCAAGTATTTGATTTAGTTGTTGAGACTGTAAATTTGAATTTCAGAGATGAGCAAGTACGAAGATTATAACAACGTGTCACGTAACTATGACAACCAGCGGTTTTTGCTATGGGCTCGGATTGTCATGGCGGCCATGATGCAGTTACACTGTGAAAACCCTTGAAAGTAGGTTCATTGTTTTTTGTGACTCTTCTGACTTATCTGTTTTCAAAAAAGTCCTTGATCATTACTGAAAAATCATGCATTATTTCTCTGACACATTTTTTCGTGGATTTATGTAAGCATTAGTTAGATTGGAAGGCACGAGTATTTACGATGAAAGATTACATTAATTTTATTTAAAGATGATACGACATCATTATAGAAAGTTCAAATTCTTGAACAAATTGTTTTTACTGCTCAAAACGCTATCTAGACACTGGTTAGATTGCAGGGAAGATTTGTGTCAGTTTGGAACAATGTTATACAATATAAAACGTATTTTATTCCAGGATATACACGTCCTTGATGCAGGCTGCGGACCGAAATTACGCCAAAAGGCTTTAATTGAATATGGCGTCGCGACACCTGGACAGTAATTGTTTTAGACGCTTCGCCAGGCATGCTTGAAAAGGCAAAAGCCAAACTTGCTGACTCTATTGAATCGGGAAGAGTAAAAAAAGTGTTGAAGCAACAATTGCCGCCAATTCCGTTCCCAGACGACAGTTTTGATGCCGTAATGTTTAATTTGGTAAGTGCAAAGTGATACACACATGGCTACTAACAAACTTCATACTGTCACTAAGTAATATCCAATTTCTTACTTTATTTATATTCCAATATCAATGAATGAAGTTCAAGCTTGATTTCTGAATACACTGTCACATTCAAGATGGTTTTTTTTGTAATGTTACATTTGTCTACCATTAAGTTGAATAGCTTGCAATGTCCAGAGTTATACAAAAGCGTGTAGATGTTTTTGAAGCTGCATGCATCATTTTGCATCGTTTCTAATACTAGTACATGTAGTTTAATTGGTATAATTATCCTTTTGCGGTGCCAGATTGTACCAGTTGGGCCAAAGACAATCGGCGCAGTTATGTCGTCCGATCAGGGTCTACACTATTCTCTAATCATTATACATTTTGAAAGGTTTTGAGTGTTTTTGGCGCGGGAAAAGTTGTCTATATGGTGAATTCCAGGAAAGATGGGTTGGGAAATACCCCCCTATAGATAAATTGTTGGGAAAAAAGGGGTAAAAAAAAACAAAAAAAAGAACGAAAAAAAATTTTTAAAAGACAATGCATTTGTTTATTTTGACATGTTTTTTTAGATTTTTAGCGGGGAAAGGACCGTTTTTTCAATTTGCTTTTTTTACTAAAATCATCTAGTTCCAAAATCATGAACTCAAAGCAGCACGCCTCCAGATTTCAATTTCATGAAAATTTAGAAAAGTATTTTTAAAATAAATATTTTAAGGGGAAAAAAATAAAAAAATTAACTAAGCAATCGGGACTTACAGTCCAAGTTAAATTACCAAAAAAGCGGTAAAATAGCAAAATGCCCTACTGCTTATAAAAAGCAGTAGAATTTTGGTTTTATAAAATCCCCAAAATCCCCCAAAAACCCCCCAACAAAACATGCAAAAATTTAACGGATCTTTAAAGCTTTACCTTTCTTAAAAATGTTGGACATTTTTTTCCCAAAATTGATTTTCTTGAAATATTTTGGCTCATCTTCGGCGTGCAGCTTTCAACACATTGGTGTATGTATCGCATGTTTTACATGTATATATTCTATCAGGGACACATGTTTATTTTTTATGTTTATGTTCTTCTTCTGAAGAATAAGAATCACATAGGTAATTTTGTGTAACCAATTTCAACTTCAATAAGATTCTGCTCCAAATCGCATGATACCATTAATCATGAAACATAGCACAATTTTGATTCATACAAGCGTGATTTATGAATCATTTAAAAAAATACAGCAATTCCATGTTATCCTAAAAAATTAATAAAGCAATTCTGTGTGAGACAATCCTTTGATTTACCTGCCTTCCAATATGTTGTTCCAACCTGCTATATCCCTATGTCAGCCATTCTTAGCATAATAAAGCTGTTACTGATACAGCACCTTTATTAAAATATTACAATAGGTGTTGCATCATTTAGAGGAACATCCTGATGGAGAAAATTTCCCAACCATTCAGAAGGTTCTCACTGAAGCAAGAAGGGTTCTTAAACATGACGGAGTACTGACAATCACTTCCGGTCCATCACCTCGATTTTATGAAACCATATGGTTTGTTCACTTAAATCCTGACATTGCTACACGTCACTTAAAACAGTATCCACATGACCGGAAGTGGCACGAGATGTTCCGGAAGTGTGGTTTTGAGTGCTCAAATTACATTCATAATAACGTAGATATTCCCGAACAGACGATGAAAACGTTGCTTGACCCTGAAGGGCCTTTGAAAAAGGACTGGCGAGATTGTAACTCCTATTGGGCGTCCGCAACTCCTGAAGATTTGAAGGTCGTCGAGGAGAAAATCAAAGAGCTTAAAGCTTCAGGCACTCTTGATCAGTTTGTAGAAAAACATAATACATGCATGGGATTTTACGTCACTTCACTGCTTTTCGGCAAGCCCATGTCAACGAAAGAATGATATGAAGGAAGAGTTGTGTTCAAATTCAAGACTGATATATTAAACGAAACAGTTACAATTGAAATGTGATTTGCAAAAAAGTAATCACGGAATATCACTGTTCGTCACAAATTTCTGGACAGAATTTAAAATAAAATACTGTGGGAGGGGGTAGGGGTTAATTACTTTTTTCATAAGAAAAAATATACATGTACAAATAATCAAGTTATTCTTAACCAGTTCATTTTGTTGTTGCTTTGTTATAATGAATTTATCTGTGGATGAATGAAAATAAACGCTTTTAAGTCAACTATAGTGACGTAAATTTATTCCATAAAACATGATCATCTTCTAGATTAACGGGTAGATATAACTTAATAAGAAGTTAACTCGGTTTAAAAAATTCACTCAGTAGACATGTAACTAAAAGTATATCAACCATCACTTTTAAATTTTGTATAATATTTTTTATCATCTTTTTTTTTTGTTACAACGCTAGATATCCGATACATCATATGTGAAGAAATGAGTGTATTTTGTTCATAACCAGAATTAAACTATTAAAAGATTATATTTGCTTTATTTTCTTTCCATTTTTTAAGCAGGCTTGTGCCATGGTCTACCTAGTCATTTTTTTATCTCGACGTTTTTTTCGAAGAAAAGAAATAGAGACATTGTAACAGTCATGGCGGCGTTCCCGTCCGCAAACTTTAACTTGTTAACTTCATCATATCTTTTTAAAGTTTTTTGGTCAATTGTCTTCATACTTAGCCACAACAACCATTTGGACAAGACCTTCAAATAGGCCAGCCTAAACTTGACCTTCATTTATAAAAGACATTCAATTAACTTCAATGTCAAATGTAAATTTTGCTTGATTTTTGCTATTAGAGGCTATAACATTGTTATTGATTGTCTTCAAATTTGAACACAATAATCTTTTTGGATAGACCCCGTAGGTTAACCAGACAGATCTTGACCTTCATTCCTAAATGACATTGAAGGTCAAATTATTTAAATTGTCTTTGGTGTAACTGGCTAGAACTTTTTTATAAATGAATGTATTGACTTATTATTAAAGCATTCTTAAGGATAAGACCTTTATGTTTATCAAACTAAACATGACCTTGGCTCATTTATGAGCTTTAACCTTACGGATTTGATTTTTACTTGGACAAAATAAGACTTGGTACCAAACAAACATATTGAATAATTTATATGTGACCTTGACCTTTAATTGACCGCCTAGGTCAAATAAATAAAATACTCGTTTTTTTCTTCGGGTTATTTTTCTTTTTTTTTAAAGGGTTCATCATATTCAAAAAAAACTTTAGGTCACCCTTCATGTATAAAACCCAAACTGCCTTAACTCATTTAACTTGACTTAAAGGCAAATTTTTTAATTTTAAAACTGATTTTCAAAATTAAAACTTCATTGGGGTTTTTAATCAATAGTTATTTTTTTTTTGAAAAAAAAATTTTTTGGAAAAGTTTTAAATGACCGTGACCTTGAGTTTAAAATTTTGGGGCTTTTAGATTTGTAAAATTTTTTTTATTCAAATTTTGTTTAATGTTCACAAAACGTTTTTTGACTTGATTTTAATCCATTTTCATTTTTTTGTAAATAGATGCCCAAAAAGAAAAACAGAACGGATCGTTTTTTTTTCGGTTTAATTTAGCTAAAAAATTAAAAAACACTTGTATAAAAGGAAAAAACTGATTAAAGCAAAAAACAAACACATATTTTGGACAATATGCACACCTAATCCCCCTTTTCGAGTTCGTTTTTTGCTTTTTTCTGCTTTGGTTTTTATAAAGTGGGGGCCAAAAATTTTCGGTCCCCCAAATACCTTTTTACCGGTTTTCTTATAAAAATATTAAAATTTAAAAAATTTAAATCCGAAAAGTTTTTAAGTTTTAAAACAGTGTACAAAGATTCCTATGAAGTTCCCTTGAATTTATTTTGTCGAAAATTAATGGTTTTTCCGCTCTTGATTTGAAATTTTCATTTTTTTTTTTTAGTACTTTAAATGATTCAAAATGAAAAATTCTCTTAAAACTCGTTCTTTCCGTATGGATCCTATTTTATGAAACACATTTTTTCCTTTTTTTTTACACAGGTTTTTGCCCCATTTGAAACGGAAAAGTGATTTTTTTTGAGCGACTCAACTTTAAAAGGGAATCCGTAGCGATCCGTCTGGGGATCGTGAATTTTTAAAGTTTCCCTTTTGTTATCTCCCCGCTTTTGGGTTTTCAATAATCGGGCGTTGAAGGCGTTTTAATATTTTATCATTTGGACGTTTGTGCATTTAACCCATCTTGGGGTTGCAAAAAAAAGTTTTTGGGCGATTTGTTAAGGGATTATAAAACTTTAAAGGGCCCTTTAGCAGGTTGCGCGATGGGGTTTTTGGGGTTTTGCCCCAGTGGTTTTAAAATGATGTCAAGAAGGTGCGGCAAAAGCAATGGGGAAAGGTTTGAACAGGGGTTGAAAACGCATGATAACGGTTTCCCTCGGGAAATTTCTACTTTTTCCTTTTTTCCCACCCAAAAATGAATTTTTCACGGACAATTAAATTAGAAAAAAAATTAACAGTTTTTAAATTTTTTCGTTTTTGGTTTTTTTTAAAAAACCAAAATTTTTTGGGCTATGTTCATCGAACGTCGCTCTCTCGTTGATTGGCTGATTGTTCCTGGTCATATTTGTAACTAAAACTGATTCATTAAAAATAATCGGAAAACCGTTTTGTTGATTTTTATGAAATTTATTCACAATATTCACACAATAGCTTCCATGTATCAAATATCCAGAATATTATTATAAAATGTTTTCACGTGATTTAAAGTTTTTATTATTATAATTATTATTATTATTATTATTATTATTATTATTATTATTATTTTATGGGTCTTCTCTTCGAAACGGCGTTGCCTATAGACCTTTGCTGGCGTTCTGTTTAACATCATAACGCCATAAACATGATAGATAAGATATGTGTTAACTAACCTGTCGATCGTTGCCTTTCTGTTTTGCTTGGTTTTGGCTTTATGGCACACCAACACAGTTTAGGTCATATGGCGAATAAACAGGAAATATGATTTTGGCAGCCTCGGGTGCAACACCAGGGGTCAATAGTTCCCAACCACTTAAGCTGTTGAAGCTAAGAGATGCATAGACTCCAATGATTCGTACTCATGTATTTGCCTCTCACGATCACACAGGGATAAACGGTGGCCTCAACCCGTGAAGGCAACCCCTCAGCCAAAGAATTGCATTTCTGTTATCCATCGTCTATAATTTATTTAAATGACATTTTCTAAGATCAATTTTGATGTTACGTGTCAGAAATGATTTTTGCATGAATATCATCAATGTTGTTCAAAGGATTCTGGTCCAAAAAATAATTCGAAAGAGTTTGCCGCATAACAATTAATTAGATATATAGGCAGAATGAAAATTTGTATGATAGAATTAATTTAAAGTTTGATTTAGAATATGGTAACTAACAAAATCCTAATAAGCGAAATAATTAGTCATCGAACTCGTTTTCGAATGCTGTCATTGACATTGATAATGCTTTCCCCATTTCGAGGGCAGATAATTCACCTAGTGGTATTTACAAAGTGATACAAATTATGCCTTAGGTTTTTAAACTGATCCTGGTATAGGCCACGTAGTTCATACAACATACATGAATATTAAAAAACTGATTTAACTCTTCCTTTTGGATGCTAAAAAGCCAAGATTAGAAAATTTAGTGTAGCATTGCCAAAACATTTAAAAAGTTTTTTAAAAATTTCCCCTGGGGTCAAAAATTGCCCCCCATGTGGGTTACTGGAATGACTTCTTATTGTTTATATTTAATTCGTAAAAAACAACCTGCGACCATATTGATTTTGTTATATTTCACAATTGGGCTCTATAAAACATTAAAAGCCCCTTGTCTCAAAATTGGCCCCCCCCCGTAAATGTTTAAAAAGGTGGGGACGCCGCCGCCGACCCGGGGCCCCTGGGGGGATAGTTTCTTACTTGTCGAACTTGCTGTTGCTACAGTATGTTTTCGTTACGTTGGCCGTCCAGAAACTTTTGTTGGCCCTTTTTTTTTAACTTATTTTTTTAAACCCTTTGACAAGAACTGACCATCAAGTAGAGACCCAGACTGAACTTGACCTTCAAACCTTTATGGTCAAACATTGGGAATTGTGCTTGATTTTTTTCTACAATTGGATATAACTTTGTTGTTTATGAAAATATTGTCTTCATACTTGGACAATAGCAAATTGCTTGCGAAGAGACCTTTTAAGGAAGCCAAATTGAAATCGGAAACATCCTTGGCTATTATCTTATAACCTGGGAGTTAGATACAGATTGAAAGTTGTTTTACACGTGGTTTCAGATGTGAACAGAAAACAAAGAGTGTAAATCTTCGATTATGTAAAACGAAATGTTTACATTTGAATCCAAAGGAAAAATTAAGTGTTTATATCGGTAACAGTTTTCATTATTGAAAATATTCTGACAACCATTTTTTAATTTAAATGTGCCCATTGGTGTACAATTTTAAACAAATCCGGCACAATATCAACAGGTCGGCATTTGTACTTTCGGTTTCTAAAACATTAATGATAAATATATATAATAATGTATTGTTTGCCTTTTTATCGGCGAATTATTTTTGGTGGACTTTAACTTGATATATCGGAAAAAAACTTGTCAAGAATTCTCATCATTAAATTACTATTTGTTAACATGTCTAGTTTCTTAATGTAGGGTAGACCAAAAGACCGTATCCGCTCCTAATAGAATAAATGTCTGCTTATATTCGAACTCGCTTACAAACCCTATAACAAGTAGAGAAACTGATAGGAACAGCATGGATCTGATCAGAGCGCGGTGGCGGTGGTCCTGGATCTGCTGGTCCCCAACCCATTATGTTGGTTTTTCATGAACGGGGTCTATTATTTATCTATATATTCAAAAAATTTCATTCCTCGTAGCAGATAAATGAATTAAAATAAATAAAATTTAAATTTGTTAAAAAATTAAAATCACTTAAATTAATGAAAAATTTAGCTTGTTTTCAAAAGTAAAATTTTTTTTTCGATTTTCTTGGTTTTTAAAATATTTTTCTCCCCTTGGGGGATTATATGATACATTTTTGAAAAATTTCAACATTATAAAAATTTAAAGAAATAAAATAGAAAATTGAATCTCTAAAAAAATCCAAAAACGAAAATTAAAAAGTTGAGGTCGGTTTTTATTGGGGAGTGGTAGTGACTCCGCCAAAGCCCCCAGAGGCTTAAAAAGGGTTAAAATTAATGAATGGGTTAAAATTTTTTTAAAAATCGGTGTGTCCCGCAATGCACATGTTTTCGTTTATAGAGGAATAGATTTAAAAGGGGGAAATGAGATAATATGAAAAGGAAAAAAACCAACTTTAAATTATATGACTTTAATTTTTTGTTTTGGAATTAAGAAAATCGGTTTTTTGATGGAAAAAGGTGCAAAAAAAAAACTTATTTGTCCAAAATTTTTGTTCACCTTGATTTTTAGATGTTCTCT